TCACATATACTTTGTCTCATGTGTCATTGACCAAAATTTACAATGCAGCAGCTCCCCTCCCACTTCCTCCCCATAGTTACCTCCTCCCAGTGTCCATCCCTTCATACTCTTCTGCACCCTGAGAGGCCCATTGTCTGCCAACCCTGTATATGATCTTGGATACACTCTCCATTTAGACATACATAATTGTCCCCCTATTACTTTTTATTTCATTTTATGGGAGAAATTATATGTGATAATGGCATTTGGAGATATTTAAGGCTCTGTAAACTTGTAACTGACAGAAGTCTTTTGAATAAATGAAAAGCTACTTGGGTGCGCACATTTCCTTGTGTGTGTACGTTTTTCGTGAGACCAGCTGCTGCAGAATCTTTGCGTTTCAGCTCAACCACCCAGACTGACTGGCCTGAACCGCCCCTTAATCCCACCCAGTGAACAGTGAACAATGGCGTGTCTTACCAGTTTGCTGATTAAAGGGATCGTGTGTAGCGCTGGAACGGAGCCTGGGATTTGAACACATGAATTCATTAACATGAGCCAAAGTCAGGCCCAGATTTTTCCTGGGCCAAACCTAGATATACCAGTGGCCTGGTCACACCAGTCTAACGGTAACAACAAACTCAGGATGGATTTGTTTGTGTGTGGGTTTTTTTTTTCTTTTTTCCTGCTTCTGTTATCTGGCCCAGGACTACCTAAAGCTCTTGAGCAGACCTATGGTTTGAGGTTTGAATGTGGTATTGCCTCCTCTTGCAAAGCTCTGTGCAGTAGCACGGAGCAGAGGAGATACACTCCCTGCCTTCCTGGTAGGTCTTATAGGAAAGTGCAAGCAAAAAAGTAAAGGGTTAAATGTAAAAATCACTTGAAGCTCCACTGATACTGTCCTTAGAAAATATTTCTGTAGAAAGATTAAGCTCTATCTGTCTGTTGTTTTCCTGTTCAGCATATTGTAAAAAGTGGTGGTGATAATACTGCCATTTTGTTTCAATAAATGGTAGTGTTGGGACTGTATCAGAATAAATGGCTTGTACTTGAGTGTTGTAAATTTATCATGTAAAAGCTAGTAGATATTACAAGGCAGCATAACTGTACTCTTAAGGGCTTCATTAATAATGGCACATAGATATAATTAGGCTCTAGCTAAGAATAGGAGATAAAATGGAAAATAATTCTGGGCGGGAAAAAAAAAGTTGAGATTCTGAGAAACTGAAAAAACATACCAGAGTGCATCCATTGATCTCAAGCCCAACACACAGGACTAAAGTATCATCTATTATCAAGGATCCTGTTGTTTAGGAATATGATCTTCTGCTCTTAAATTGTTTCCATTTTGCATTTCATATCCAATCCCTTCTATAGCCAGTACCGTATAAACAGAGATCATCTAACACATGTTCCATGATTCAGCAATAACAGTATGATGATTGAAAGTTGATGTATCTATTTTTTAGAAACTACCCAGCTGTTCCTAAAGAAGCATCATTAATTATTTAATTCACCAAGTGGGCTTTCAGTAAATACTATGTGCCAGGCAGTTGTGTTCTATGCATTGTTCTGCACACTGGGAATATAGCAGAAGACCCTAAATTTTAAATGCCAGTCTTCATGAAGCTTACATTATAGTACATCACGCCTCCAAGCCCATCTTAGTCCTAAGTAGAAGTGAAATGGGCCCAGTGAAAGCACTAAGTGAGAGGAGAAAGTAATTTGTGAATGGGGACTCCTACCAGGTACCCCTACAGGTCTCTGGCCAGCTCCTCCCCTTTTAGTCTTCCTACAATCCCAGACATAGTTTGCTGGCCTCCTTCTCCCCTTAGACCAGTTAGAGCACCATGCCATTTCCAAACTTTTCCTCTCTTCAGTGTCTCTAAAATAAGTACAAGCACCTCTTTCAGACTTTTTATTAAGCTTTTACTGTTACCTATAACTGCTTACTGCTAATAAAAGTATAATAGAGAGTTTATAAAGATTAAAAGAAATAGATACCCATGATCAAAATCTAAATAACTAATGGGACCAGGTCTTACCCTCTGGAAGTAGATGGCCTAAAGTTCTCATTTTCCTCTACATATCCTCTCTTCTTGGACCTTATCTTAAGAAACCCCATTCTTTTCACTCCTGCCTTCTCCCTAGTCCTGGTCCTCTAGGAAGATAAGAGGTTTAGATGAGCGAAGGTGGTCCAGGAAAGAGATGGAAGACTGAAAGTGATCCATTTCCTCCTCATCCAGCTCTGCCTGGTGCCTTTCTGTTTCCTACAACCTACAAGAAACATTTAAATACAGTTAAGCAGACGTCTTGGTAACCCTTCTGAGCACATTCTTAGGACCTATCCAGCAATGTAGTACACCTTGCCCCTAGAGAGTGTTGAAAAAGCCAGTTATATGCATCTGTTCCCAACTCCAAGTTCAATGACATTAAGAGGATAGCTTGAAATATTTAATCCCTGATCATCAGCAAACAAAGAGTCAAGGTGTTGCAGTGGTTAAAGTGCTTACCTTCTAACAGCAAGGTCGGCAGTTAGAACCCTCTAGCTTCTCCAAAGAAGAAAAGACCTGGCAATCGTTCTGTAAAGATCAACAACAAAAAAAAAAAAACTAAACCCACTGCCATCGAGTGACTCTGACACATACGACCCCTGTTGGGTTTTGAAGGCTGTAAATCTTTATGGAAGTAGACTGTCCCATCTTTCTTCCATGGAGCAGCTGGTGGGTTAGAACCACCAACATTCTGGTTAGTAGCTAGATGCCACCAGAGTTCCCTATAAAGATTACAACCTAGGAAACCCTATGGGGCAGTTCTGCTCTGTCCTTATAGGGTCACTATGGGTCAGAATCACCTCGACTGCACACACCACCAATCAGCAAGTGGAGTCCCTGGGTGCAGACAGTTAATGTGCTTAGCTACCGACTGGAAGGTTGGAGGTTTGACTCCACCCAGAGTCACCTCGGATTGCCTGACAATCTTCTTCTAAAAAACCAGCCATTGAAAACCCTATGGACCTGACTTCAATTAAAAAACAAAAAATCTAAACCCTTTGACATCAAGTCAATTCCAACTCATAGCAATCCTATAGGACAGAGCAGAACTGCCCCCATAGGGTTTCTAAGACTGTAAATCTTTAGGAAAGCAGACTGCCACATCTTTCTCCCACGGAATCGCTGGCGGATTCAAACTGCTGACCTTTTGGCTAGCAGCTGAGAACTTAGCCAGTGTGCCACCAGGGGTCCTTTGGCTTTAATTACCACCTATATATTAGTAACTCTTTAAGTTATATTTATAGCCCTCAAGAGAAAGCCCTAGTTTATTTTTTAAAAAATTAAAATTAAACCAGTGTATTCAGTAGACAACAGTGTATTCAATAGACAACAGTGTATTCAATAGCAAAGTGATTGATTTTCTTTCTTTATTCTGTGTGCAGTTTCATTCCTCATTGTTGTGTTTTATTCCATTGCAAATGGCATCTTCATTTCAATAGTCAGTTTATATGTTTTGTCAGACAGCGACTGGAAAACCATAGTGGTATGTGAAGTAACAGGAGCTGGCATTAGTGTTCTTGGTGTGACTAGCAGGGAAGCTATAGACTGTTAGGGAGTTAAGAGGTAAAAAATAAACAGTCTGGGCATATGGGACTGTATTTATAATTAGAAAAGTTGGAAAGTTATTAAGAATATTACTGTTGGTTATTATTTTATGTAATATTTAATAGTTTTAAAATCTTTCTTACATTAGACTCTTGAATATACTGCATATATTTCTTTGAGGCTGGGCCAAACAGCATTGATTGTTCTGTCCAAATTGCCTGTATAAAATTGGTTTCTAAAAAATCAAGTCAGTTAAATAATTAACTTTACTGTTTTCTTATTAGCCTAGAATTGTTTTTACCAAAGAGTTAATCAAAATAATTAAAATGACTTGTGTATGAAAAAAAAAAAAAAAACCCTGTGAAGCACAGTTCTACTCTGACACATGAGTTCACCATGAATTTGAATTGACTTGTCAGCAACTGGTAATCAGCAAAACTAAAAATCAGAGTTTTGTTTTGCTTTTGTTTCAGAGCTCACTTAACCAGCACATCACTGGGCAGATCCTTCTTCATCAAATTCTTACACTGATGCTGCCATAGGCATGAAATCCATGACTACTATATTAATTCGTATGATTTAGTTCTACCATCCTAATTTTGGAAGGAAATGTTGACCAAAACTAACAGGAGATTTGATCTGGAAGGTTTCAAAAGACAGATTTTACATCAGGTTGCACAGATTTTGTTCATACAGGCATACCTGATTTTATTGTGCTTCATAGATACAGGAGATCTGGTGGCCTAGCACCTAAGGCATTGACTACTAACCAGAAGGCTGGCGGTTCAAACCTACCAGCTTCTCCTCAGAAGGAAAATTGGGCAATCTACTTCTGTAGTGATACCACCTTGGAAACCCAAGGAGGGGTCACTATGAGTTGGATCTGACTCAATGGCAGTGAGTTTTGGTTTTTGGTTATAGATACTGTGTTTTTTACAAGTTGAAAGTTTGTGGCAACCCTGTGTCAAGCAAGTCTGTTAGTGCAATTTTTCCAAAAGTATATGCTCACTTCATATCGCTGTGTCACATTTTGGTAATTCTACAATATTTTAAACATTTTCATAATGCTGTTGCACATTTAATAGACTACATATAGTATAAACATAACTTTTATATGCACTGGGAAACCAAAAACTTCATGCGACTCGCTATATTGCAATATTCTCTTTATTGCAGTGGTCTGGAATTGAACCTGCAATATTTGTGAGGTATGCCTGTGCTTTGATTTCTCTTAAGAAAAAAGACTGAGACAATTTATAGGTAGTTTCATTGTTATTTTCATTGAAATCTCACATGGGTCTGATTCAAAAACTTGCAGATGTTGGGCCATGCTCATCATTAACATTTCTTTAGAATGTTTTCTTGTTCTTGTTTCATTACTTGGGTGCCGCTTTGCTGACTGCCTGTTTGTGCACCGTGTAGGACTGCACATGCAAGGGCTAAAGCTGATGCCGCTGACCAGGCTGCGCTGGCCGCCCGCCAGGAGTGCGATATTGCGAGAGCTGTGGCCAGGGAGCTGTCTCCTGATTTCTACCAGCCAGGTAAGTCAGTGTTTGATGGGAGAGGTAGGAGCCAAGACATTAGCCTTTAGTTTTCTTTTGTCATTTCCTATTTCTAGATCATCATCATTCTTTGTTTAACTACAAGGCCTGCGCATCTCGAGTCCCAGCAATACCAGAAAACAAGTAGGAGAACACGGTAACAGACCATCTGAAGTCTGAGTGTAGCACTAGTGGGTTATTTGCCAGTGTAGTCCCCTCTCCCCATCCCCCACCAGCAACACATAAATGACAAATGGTGAGCTGAGAGCAATAAAACCAGAGTCTAAAAGAAGTATTTGATTCTAAGAAATTATGTTTGTGACAATGCAGATACTGTAACAAATACCCCAAAGTCAGAAACACCCATAACAATAACATTGGCAGTATGAGAAGAGCCAGTAAGTATTGTAACCTTTGTTTTTTCAGAAGTACCTAATTAAAGCTCTGAGGAGTGTGGGTTAGGTGACCACTTAAAGACTATTGTACAGAGTAAGAGGAAAACCCATGTCCTGATGGAAGCAATGGAAGTGATAACTTCAGGGGGAAAACAAAAACATCTTGTTCATCTGCCTCTCAGATGTTACAAAATAGTAATAAATGAATATTTGCAGTAGGTTTAGAAACTCACTTCCTGGTAGTTTCCTAGCAAACTGTTTCCACCCCTCTCCATAATATATTGGTGTTTTTGTGTTGTATTTCAAAGTGGCTGTTGTTGTTGTTATGTGCCATTGAGTCGGCCCAGACTCATAGTGACCCCTCCTTGGGTTTCCGAGGCAGTATCACTACGGAAGTAGGATTGCCCAGCCTTTCTTCTGTAGTCACCTTTTAATAATTGGTAGATAGAGTCATTATAGAGTGACTTCTGTAATAGTTCAAATCCAAGGAGGCAACCAGTGATAATGGGATGTTGTTGTCTTTTATATACATCTTTATGCCACTGGATGGGATTTAGCTCGTTTTATAATTATGTCTATTTTGTTAAGAAAGGGAAACTTTCCATTTTTTTTGGAATGACCTCTAGTAGAAATAAAATATTTTCTTGAGTAAAATGAAATCACACTGCCTGGTACCAGCATCCATCCATGAACTACCTGTTTGGGGTGTAAGAACTACAGAAAGTGTTCAGCTCCCCAAGCGGGATTGTTCTGGTCCTCCCCAGCAGTACTGCCTTGTGAGGAACCATTGCAATTAGAGACAATGCCCTTTCACGAAATAGCACTGGGTTTGAACTGTTTGAAAGAAAACAAACTTCCTTTTGTTGTCTGTAGCTGGTAATTTCGTGCTTCTGGTTCTGTTGTGAATTCTGCTGAAGAGTAGAGGCCGTAGAGCTTACCATGAGGTGTTACCAGGAGGTAAATGATATGGAAGGTCATCTCAATTTCCCTGGCTAAATGGTTTTAAAAAGCCTTTTATGGTGTAAAAGCACTTGATGAAAAAAAATGTTGTGGGAAAATGTAATTCCACCCTTCCTTGCTAAAAAGTTTCATATAAGCAAGTGGTCTGTCAGTAATGAATGCATCACGGCAGCACGAGATGACAACGGGTCTATTTAGGACAAGAGCTATGGGTAAAGGCTACAATCCCCTTTGACCTGCAGCCAGCATTTCCTTTCGGCAACTGTGTAGAAGGCCTTCTCTGTACTATTAATGATCTTCCCAAGAGAGCATAACTCATGCTTTCCACCCTGCGTTAACAGAGTGATCAAATCAGATAGACGTTTTCTAAAAGGGCTTTCAAATACTTTTCTAAGTCGAACTGCTAATTTCATTTACATAGCTCAGACATAAATGTTTCCATTGTTTGGACTGCATGTATCGTGCATAGAAGTTGTTAACTCTAGGAAAAGGAATGCCTGGCAAAGCATACGTTTTGAATACTATTATGGCACCTGTTTATTTTCAGTAATGTTTTTAGATATTTGAAAAAAAAAAACCTACTACTGTCGAGTCAATTCTGACTCGTAGTGACCCCCTGGGGCAGAGGAGAACTGCCCCATAAGGTTTCTATAGCTATAAATCCTTAGGGAAGCAGATTGCCTTATCTTTCTCCAGCAGAGCAGCTGGTGGGTTCAAACTGCCCACCTTTTGGTTAGCAGCTGAATGCTTTAACCACTGTGCCCCCAGAACTCCAGATACTTACCATCTCAGTTAAATCTTATGCTTTTAGTGCAAATTTGTGCTATTCTATGGTTCAGTTAAAAACTAAGGAAAAAAAACATAGTCATATAGGATGGCTTTATCACTCAAATTGTTAAGTTGTTATGAGTAATAAAAAGCATAAAATGCATGCATATGAATGTGTACATAAATCATTGCATGTTATTGTTAGTCACCACTGAGCCAGTTTGGACTCATGATGACCTCACGTATAACAGAATGAATTGTTGCCCAGTCCTGTGTCATCCTCACAATAACCAGCACATTCAAGTCCATCATTGCAGCTGTTATGCCACCGCATCTTACCGAGGGGTTCTCTTGCCCTCACTGAACCTCTGATTCATCAAACATGATGTCCGCCTCCAGTGGTTGATCCCTCCTGAAGACATTTCCAATGCAAGCAAATCAGATGGTGTCTTGTTGCTAGTTTAATTCCTTGAGGTTTTTATTGGCTAATTTTCAGAAGTAGATCAACAGGTCTTTCTTCCTAGCCTGTCTTAGTCTGGAAGTGCCACTGAAACCTGTCCACCATGGGTGACCATGCTAGTATTTGAGATAGCAGTGCCATAACTCCCAGCATGATAGCAACATGCAAGACACCACAGTACGACAAACTGACAGGTGGTGAAGGTCATCATATGTGTACACAGAAACTTAAACTGCCATCAGTATGAGTGATACAGAGTCATCCCCAAAGAACTTAGAAGTAAGATTGCCCTCTGGGAGTTAGCCCATGAAATTTCAGTACAGACACATATATAGTGATCCTAAGTGATAGAATCGCTTTAAGGACAGAAAGATTTCCTTGTAACATGATTGTATTAAAATATCTAAGGAAGATACTGGTCACCCAAGGAAGTAAAGGAAAGAAAGAGTCTCAGAGGCAGAGATTTGCAGTGTCTATCCAAACACTGTCCAGAAGAAGAGAAGGCCTTAGCCAAAACCTTGGAGTATTGCTGTCGCACTAGCAAGGCCATTTCTATTATGGGGAAGGATGCAGGGAGCTGTGCACAGTGCATGTGGCCTCATTGGCGGGATGATGCCAACTGAGGAGTTGATGCGTCAGGCTAGTTCACCCTGACACCATTGAATATTTGACTCATCTTCTGCTCCTTGTCCAGAGTCCACGTTCACCAGTAACCTTCCAATTTTGGTTAAGCTTTTGGTGGAGGTCTGCCACCAGGGAGAACATGCACTGATGGAATCAGCACAAGTCCCCTGACCCATGTGGCACTTACATTGCTCATGATAAACTAATGAATAGGCCTTCTGGGATTATGCATCAGCCTTGTGAGCATTGGTAACGTGAGCCTGCCCCAAGGGATGGCTCTGCTTCAAAGTGCCTATGAAACCAAATTTCTAAGCCAACAAGGCTGAAATAAGACTTCGGAGGCACCAAGGAAGTATGGGAATTGAGGTACAGAAAAACTAGACATGTGAATCTTTGTCACATTGTTTCAGTTTCCTTTTGGTCAAGGTACTTACTTTGTTTTTAATTTCAAGTGTTATTGAAAAAGAAAAAAATGACTGTCAAGTCTATTCTGACTCCTAGCAACCTTATAGGACAGAGTAGAACTGCTCCATAGGACTTCCAAGGCTGTAAATGTTTACTGAAGCAGACTGCCTTATCTTTCTCCCATAAAGCGGCTGGGGCACTCAAACTGCTGACCTTTTGGTTACCAGCCAAATGCCTTAACCACTGTGCCACCAGAGCTCTTGTTGTTGTTGTTGTTATGTGCTGTCGAGTCAGCCCCGACTCATAGCGACCCCTCCTTGGGTTTCCGAGGCAGTATCACTACGGAAGTAGGATTGCCC